ACACAGCCCATTACTGTAGACAGGGACACTGACCCCTATGAACTCTGACCCCTCATTCACACAGCCCATTACTGTAGACAGGGACACTGACCCCTGTGAACTCTGACCCTCTCACTCACATCGCCCAGTACTGTAGAAAGCAAAGACTTTTTTCAATCTTGTAAACCATCATCACAAACTTTTTTTTTTTATGTATACAGTGTTCTGTCTGCATGTATCCCTGTAGGCCAGAAGGGGGCACCAGATCTCATTACAGATGGTTGTAAGCCACCATGTGGTTGCTGGGAATCGAACTCAGGACCTCTGGAAAAACAAGCAGTGCTCTTAACCTGCCATCTCTCCAACCCACCATCACAAACTTTTAATATTTCATTTCATTTCTCCTGTTTTTTGAAACAAGGTCAAGCTATGTGGCCCTCACTGGCCAGGAACTCACTACACAGACCAGAACGGCTTCAAACTCATAAAGATCCTCCTGCCTCTGCCTCTTGAATGGTGAAACTAAAGGTCCATGTGACAGAAACATGACTTCCTTCCCATGCCCTGGCATACTTTTTCGGACCTACTCTCTAGACTGACAGTCTTCCGGCCCTCTCATCTGAAATGCAGCGTTGCTACTGTATTTTACTTTGCTAGATTACATTCTACCTACGCCTTCACAGTGCACATACTGTTTCACAGACACTGGAGTGTTCCTCCATCTTCATTTGGTGCTATCACTTTACAAACGCCCTCCCAGATCTTTACACTTTACTCCGTAGTCTTAGTCAAGAAATATGGAAGTGGGGTCAGCAAGATGACTTCCGGAAATACTGCCAAGCACGACAACCTGGGTTTGATCCATAAAAATGCACCCAGTGGGAAGAGAACTGACTCCTGACATTCTTGGACCTCCACGTGTACATGCATGCACAAGCATGCACAAACATAGAAAAATAATGTAAAAAACAAAGAAGGAAAAAGGAACTATGGCATTGTACGGGTGGCTGACATTTTAAGGGGGGGGCGATTCACCACCACCACCACCACCACCACCACCACCACCACCACCACCACCACCACCTCTGATGGCTGCACTTGCTCAGCAGTGAAGGAGCCGTCCTCATACACTTTTCTAATTAGTGTGAAGGGTGTCCGACATTGAGAGCTGCTGGTAGCAAAAGGCCATGGGAGTATACAGTAGGTGACAACTAGTGTTCAAAGGGCCAACCTATCAGAACCAAGGGTTCTAGTGGAGGACTAAGCCATCACTCAAGGCATGTTGGAATTATTGCCTTATGAATGAACTGGCTGTTTCTTCTTGTAAACTTCTTGTGCAAGAACAGCTATGACATCTTCCCATTACCAAGCATTTTCATAAAATGTATATATGTAATCTCATGATTACATCTCAATCTATGGGCACATAAATCTGTGGGTGGTCAGGAAGATGACTTTTCATTTAGCTGTATAATTTTGATATACAGAAATATACTATGACATGCTTGATAGCCAGATCCATTGTCCCACGAGACTGTAAACACTTAAAGCATGCTTTGTTCCTTGTGCTCAGACTAACACAGAAAATAATAATCTCTCCTGAGTCTAACACAAACTGCACATGTTTAGCTCATTTTTACCTCACAGCAAGTTCAAACTAGACTAAAGGCCTTTGTAAATAGATCACAAGTTTAAAACTTTACAGTATGCACACGGTCAGAGTCGCAGGTGTCTACCCAGGTAACTAACACAAAACACCCTAGAAAAGCCTGCCAATTCCTCGCTTGCCAAATCTGCTGATAAAAAGCAATGCCTCAGAGTTTGTCACACTGGGCACTGTGCCCCCTCCCTCTGGTCCTGAGACCTTGGAACCCTGCGTTACCATGGTAATGGCTCTGCTCCTTATCTTCTATTCTAGGAATGTGCCTTGAGGGTTTTGAAACTTTTCTCAGATGACAAGGAGTCTCCTGTTAGAGATGTACGGAAAATCAGGCAAGAGAGGAGCTAAGAGAGCTGAAAAGCTGTAGACTTGGAGAAGCAGTGGAAAAAGAGAGAACAGCAGAGAGATCAGAAGCTTGCTTAGAACATACAGTGGACGGACCGAAAGAGCACATGGGTAGATTTATCCATCGGTAAGTGGTTTCCCCCTCTGGACTCTGGGCAGGCACCCTGAACAAAGCTTTTGTTAACCCAACATTGTGCCTCATTTTCCTTTTCCCTCTTCCTACCAGCTTTCCTTATTTTAATTTTCCAATCTTAGGCTCACGTGTGCTTTCAATTTTCCAGACTTAAAAGCATTACACAGATGCTGTGGCTTCTCCCCTCAGCGTGGAAACAGCAAGGGAAAGGGATGACCGCAGGCCTAGCGGGTGGGCAGGAGCCAACCCAGTCACGTATACACACATTCCAAGGTGGAAATCAGGCTGCTGGACAGCCGGCTCAGTAAAACGCTTTCCCCGTAGGCAAGAGGACCAGAGCTCAGATGCTCAGCACTCAACAAGTGTCAGGTAGGCACAGTGGCCTCAGAGAGCAGAGATATAATCCCCGGAGCAATATAGGCTAAATAGACAAGTTGAATGAGGAATCCTGGGTTTGACTGAGAGACCTGCCTCAAAAGAAGGTGGGCTGGGCGGTGGTGGCGCACGCCTTTAATCCCAGCACTCGGGAGGCAGAGGCAGGCGGATCTTTGTGAGTTCGAGGCCAGCCTGGACTACCAAGTGAGTTCCAGGAAAGGCGCAAAGCTACACAGAGAAACCCTGTCTCGAAAAACCAAAAAGAAAAGAAAAAGAAAAGAAGGTGGAAGGGCGATCCACCCCACATACTACACATACAAACACAAGGAAAAGGAACAGAGTGGGACATAAAGAGATACACAATCATCCGACCTTTAAAATATAGTCTGTGATTAATGAGTATCTGCCAGCATTAAAAAAAAAAAAAAAAGAAATGCACCAACCAAACCAGACAAGAGGCCCATACAAGTGCACGCGTCTTACTTCTTAATCACAAAGCGGATCCTCTCCTTTGCCAGCAAGATCCTCTCAAGGCGAGGAATGCCGTATGTCGATGGCCTTCTGAAAGGAATCCCTTCGGGAAGCCCTTCTACATAAAGATCTTCAACATGGGACTGGAAGAGAGGGTATGGGATCGTCACCGGACCTTTGGCTTTTATAGCTTGAGCTTTAGGATGAAAAGAGAAAGGGACCATCAGTACAAGACAAGGTCTGCGCAAACTCCAGAACGTCACTCGAACAGGCAATGCCGCTTTGTCCTCCTGAGCCCTGTAAGCCCAAACCACCATGGTTAGTGTGCATGGTACAAACGGAACTGCTGAGTCCTCGTTATTCACACATTCACACAAGGAAGACATTCTTGATCTGCACAAGTTACAATAAAACCTATTTACCCCAGGGTAAAATGACGCAACAGTTACAGAAGCGTCCCAGCCGGGGGTCCCTGTCACACCAGCATCATCACTGTGGGCTGCTGCTTTGTGTACGAGTGCACCCAATAAACATGACCATGTACGTTCAAGTTGCAAGTACATCACACATGTCAGTGGTTGAGCTGGACACTAAGCACAAGCTCACTAATCCCCTGGGCCCACACACCAGGTTATAGAACACAGTGAGAATTCCTCCTCCTCAGCCAATTACCACCCAAGCTGCGTTCAATTCTTAAAACATCAAGATTGTTATGATAATTTCATAGTAGTTGGCACACATTTATTTTCTTATATACAAAAGAATCTTGATGGGCATGGTGGTGATTCCACCACCCAGGAGGCAGGGGGATCGCTGTGAGTTCTATGCCAGCCTGTGCATGGTGAGATCTTATCCCAAGCAAACAAACAATCCAATCTATTAGTCTCAACAGCAGCCTTGGTTCTCTATGGCTGAGGAGCACAGGGTAGGGAACTGCCGTCATACTAAACTACTGTAGCTCAGAAGAGGGCTAATTAAAATATGAAAACACAAAGACTGAGCACAGACCATCTACCAGCCGGTATCCTGCAAGGACTGTGCCGTCTTACCAGGTGTCTACTCAGAAGAGGAGGCCAGGAGCATGAAGACATGGCACCCTGGCCTAGCCATGCCCTGCCTGCTGGACCTCACTGCCTTTACATAGACTGTGTCTGTGTTTCCTAACTAAGGGAGCCATAAAGGGAATAAAGGAAAATAGGTACCATTTAGCAAATTCATTAGACTGTGACTCTAGACTTTCATTGTAGTTCTCAGCCACAGTTACAAAATACAGGTCGGGGGCTGAAGCGATAGGTCAGTGGTCAGGAGCATCTGCTGCTCTTGCAGAGGTTCAGTTCCCATTGTGCACACGGCAGCTCACAGCCATCTCTGTACCAGGCACATGGGGGAACAGAACATTCCTGCACTCAAAACACTGATGAAGCTAATATAAAAATAAATAAATCTTTTTTTAAAAAAGGTTCCCAGGCAGCGGTGGCGCACACCTTTAATCCCAGCACTCAGGAGGCAGAGGCAGGGGGTTCTCTGTGAGATCAAGGCCAGCCTGGTTGACAGAGCAAGTTCTAGCTAGGAGAGCCAGAGCTAAGGAGAAACCCTGTCTTAAAAGTTTCCAAGAGCCAAGATCAACAAAATTTGAATCTGTATGGATCTGAGCCAGGCTCACACCTTTAATCCCACCACTCTAGAGGTAGAGGTAGGTAGATCTCTGTGAATTGGATGCCAAGCTGATCTTCATCGTGAATTCCAGGAATCATGCCCCATAGTCAGAGTCTGCCTCAAAAAACAAAAAAAAAAAAAAAAAAAAAACACTAGAGCATGAAGTGTTTGTGTGTGTAAGTGTGTGTAAGTGTGTGTGCTTTACCTCCACTTAATGGTACTCTGGAAACTTAGGCTTCTGATATGCCCTTCTGAGAGACAGCTGTGAGGAAGACCTAGTGCCCGGCAGACCCGCCTGGCTCATCGCCTGGCTGACCTGAGCAATGCCCTGGGAGGACGACCGCAGACATACCATATTTTCTTTCGAACAGCTCCTCCACTTGTTTCCGCAGGTCAGTGATGCGTGCGTTCCATTTCTCTGCAAACAAGAGGAGGCTATTTTCAGGACGAGGGCGGCTTGGCACTGGGCGCTCTCAACAGCAGACGACCTGCCTATCAGCCCATCCCAGGCTGCTTCTCCCTGACTTTCCAAGTGTTTTCCCCTTTTCTGTGCCTCTTAAAAGCCGTTGGAGGCTGAGGGACATTTGAAACTTATTTTTAGAACCGTCTACAGACTGCCTTTGTAGCTTTTAAACTTCTTAAAGATGGGCGATTGGAAAAGACCAGTCCAATTGAGCACCGCAAAACTGCAGCAAAGAGAGGCCTCCAAGGGTCCTGGGGGGCACCCCCTGAAGCATGCCAGCTGTGGAGAAGCAAGGCCACATAGGGAGGTAACTGCAACTTCCCCCTACACTGGAGACACTCCACAAACTCACACATACACAAAATCCCGATAGAGCCAGTAGATGCAGCAAAACCAATGTGGGAGATCCAGCTGCCTTCATCAAGGCTGGGGTGGGGTTCAGTGCTGGGAGAGCACTGGCCTAGATGAATCCCTGGGGTCTACCCCAGGACGGACAAAACAAAGACATTTTCAAAAGTCAAGTGGTCTTCAAACTATGGACCACAAAACTAACTCACCCCTAATGTTTTACTCGGTCCCTTAGGAGAAGTATACTGGCCACTGGAGGTACAATTAGTAGCCGGTGGGCAACAGAGCGGAACAGAACACCAGGAGAGATAAAGTTCACAAATGTAGGTTTGGGGGCTTTGAATAATGGGGCGCCAGATGCCAACACAATGCCATTGCTTACAGGCGACACAGATCCACTACCTCCTGTGTCAGAGCTGACCACGGCCCAACCTCTTAGTCCTCCCCCCTTATCCCCCCCAACCCCCACACCCCGCAGGTCCTTACCGAAGTTGAACTCCCTGACTTTGCGCTTGCCAGCGTTGACGGGCTCTGGGACTGGCGGCGGAGGGGGCGGCTCGTTGCTCTTTGGCCTCTTGGTGGGCGGGGAGTACTCGTCATCTTGAGAAAGAAAACCTTCATTACTGCAGGAAACAGCTGCTGGAGCCACAGTGCGGCGGAGAGGACAACTCTCGGCACTCAGGGGAACTCGGCACGCGACCACCAGCTGCACCACCCCGCAGGCCAGCTGCTCGGCCCCTCTGACCAGTTCCTCTCCTCTAAAAGCTTCCGTGACCACAGCTGTGCTCGGTTAAAGTGCTCTGAGAAAGAAAGGTTTCAATGGAGGCAGCGATTTCTACTGCTAACAATGCAGGTGTGTCATGAGAAAAGGAAGATGAACCCTGAATGGAAGCTAACAGATTATTCCAATGGCCTCAAACAACGGGGAGGGGAACTATGTCAATACTGCCTGCCCTTGGATACTGTTAGTTTGGGGATTTTTTTTTTTTAATTGTTTCTGTTGGGACATTCCATGGCATTGGGCTCTCCCACTAAAGCACACACCAGCCTTTTGTTGTTGCTGTTACTTGAGATAAGGGGGTTTGGACTCAGGATCCTCCTGCCTCAGCTTCCTAAAGCTCCACCAAGCTGGCTCTGTAAACAGTCTCCAGAACACAAAGTTTCCAGAAAGAAAGGAACAGAGATGTTGACTCCCTCGACATAGGACCATGTACAAATACCCAGCAGGACGGGAGCATGGAGTACACACAGGTCAGCACACTTGGGAAGTTCATGCTTATTTCAATGGCATGGAAGGGACCTCCAAGGAAAATCCCGTCTCTCAGTGCACCTGATACTAACGCCAAGGACAACTGACCCAAGGAAGAACAGCCACTATCATCTGGTCCCAAGGTGGTCAGGACCCATAGCTAAGCTGTCAGCTCCAACATCGTCTGTAAATGTCGCTCACAGAATCTTTATTGTAAAGACATAGTGTAGAATGTCAGGTATAGTGGTGCACACCTTTAATCCCAGCACTTGGGAGGCAGAGACAGGTGGATCTCTGTGAGTTCCAGGCCAGCCAGGGCTCCACAGTGAGATTCTGTCTCAGAAAGGTAAAAAGAAAAGTATAAACAGGAAGATCAGAAATTCCAGGTCATCCGTAGCTGAACACCAAATTCAAGACCAGCCTGGAATACAAGTGACCCTATCTCAAAAATCAATCAATGGGGGCTGGAGAGATGGCCCAGAGGTTAAGAGCACTGACTGCTCTTCCAGAGGTACTGAGTTCAATTCACAGCAACCACATGGTGGCTAATAACCACCTGTAATGAGATCTGGTGCCTTCTTCTGGCATGCAGGCATACATGCAGGCAGAATACTGTATACATAATAAAATTAATCTTTAAAAAAAATCCAGGTGGTGGCGGCACAAACCTTTAACCCCAGCACTTGGGAGGCAGAGATAGATCTTTGTGAGTTTGAGGCCAGCCTAATCTATAGAGTGAGATCCAGGACAGGCACCAGAACTACACAGAGAAACCCTGTCTTCAAACTGCCCCCCCCAAAAAAAACCAATACCAAATAAACAAACAAACAAAACCCTGTCTTGGAAAAAAAAAAAAAAAGCAAACAGGTTGAAGCCAGATGTGGTGGCCCAAGACTGTAATCTGTACTCAATTTGAGAGAATGTCAAGGCCAGTCTGGGTTTCCAAACACAGGGAGGAAAAGGTGTCATGGCACACACTTGTAATCCCAGCAGAGAACAGAAGTTCAAGGTAGGCTACACAGGAAGTTCAAGGCCAGCCTGGGAGCATTAGACACCGTCTCATTTTTAACAAGAAAAAAGAAACAAAGAGAGGCTAGCCAGTGGCTGAGATTTGGCCCCAAAAAACTGGGGCTCAGACTGAAGATAGACTCTGGGTTTAACTTTCTACTAGGCCTCTCAAAAGATGGTCTACTTCAAACTGAGGCTGAGGAAAAACACCAAGGCAGATTTTCTTTAGTGTCAAGAGGTCACTTCTTAGGCTGGATATAGAAGCTCACACCTTTAATGCCAGAACTTGGGAGGCAGAGACAGGCGGTCTCTGAGTGCAAGGCCAGCCTGGTCAACATAGTGAGTTCCAGGACAGCCAGGGCTGCATAGAGAGAGCCTGCCTAAAAAAACTAACAAACAAACAAAACCACCTCACTTAAGTCCTGAGTCAGTCAAACCCATTTCAGAATTCAAGATACACTGACGCCTGTTTTACGAAGATGACCTAATGGGGTCTGGAGGAGTGGCTCAGTGGTAAAGCAATCGCTTACAAAGACCCTAGTCGGGGTGCGGGGGGGGGGGGGGGGGGGGGGGGGGGGGTGGCTCATCTTTTCCTGGGCTCCAATCCAGAACTTGGAATTTCATATCTGGTTATGCATGAACTGTTTAAAGCATTCTAAATGCCGGCTGAGTCAAGCGCCCACAAACTCAACAGCAGCCCCAATGGCTTCCACCCGCCCTGCCCGGGTTAGGCCTCGTTCCGATACCACTGCTCCGCACCGATACCACTGCTTCGCACCATGACCCTGTCTGTGGCCTCAAGGGGAAGGGAATGAGCTGTTCCTGCTCCAGGTAACGCATTCTACTGGACAGGAGCACCACCAGGCATATGTAAAGCTCCGATGTTTGTGGAATGACTACATGAACACATGTCCTACTGAAGGCTTCCATTCAGGCAGCGGCCAATACCCTCAGCATTAATTTCACCAGAAAGAAAGAAAGAGAGAGAGAGAGAGAGAGAGAGAGAGAGAGAGAGAGAGAGAGAAAGAAAGAAAGAGAGGGAGAAAGGAAGAAAGAAAGAAAGATCTTCTCTGGAAAATGACCTACCAACTGTCCACCCTAAGCTTTCCGATGACACCACAGCTCTGAAGAACACTGCGCAAACTCACACCTCTCATTTGCATGCAATCAAGCGGTTGTTCATGCTATGAAATACATACACCGTGGGTAGAAAATGGCTCCTATATTGAAGCAGAATAACACAGCTGTCCGAGTGTGTGGCACACGTCGCTCTGCACTGCCGTCTGTGGCGGTGCAGTGAGTGGTCAGCAGGACCAAAAGCATGCAGAAATATTTGTACGGCCTTACAAAAAAACAGTAACGGAGAAAGAGTCAAGGTAGCTCATCCATGAAAACACAACCCAAGTCTGAAAGCAAATTACTCTAAAGCAACTTCAAACAAACAGTGAAATAAAGTCAGGGTCCGAGGCTGGGCTGCGCACATGTGTGCATACAGGACTCGGTTTGGGAGCAGCACCTTAAAGACAACCAAGGGATAAGGAAACAGCTTTTCCAAAAATTCTCTTTATTAGCTAAGGAGAACTCTCACAAAAGCCAGCTACAACTCCCCAAGCTCCGCCCTCCCCCATGCATCCCCATACACAGATCTGGACAGTCACTCCGTGGCAAGCCTCTGTCAGTGTCCTCCTGAGTGCGGAGACCGTTGAGTGAGCTCTGCACACGCCCAACATCTATGTTCTCTGCGTATGCCAAAGGGAACAGCACCCGACCTAAGCGCCAGCTGTAAGCGTGATGTTTGGGCCTGAGGCCTACGCAGCCAGACAGCCCCAGAGCCACCCGAACGCAGCTCACTTACGGCGGCCGAGAGCTGCCAACCATTGCCTCTAGCTGCAGAGGGATCACCACAAAGAAGAGTCCAGAAACTCACAGACACAGGAAGAAGGGTCAAGTCAAACACTATAAAATACGACCAAGTTTTTCTTGTTTTTGGGTTTCCAGACAGGGTTCCTCTGTGTAGCCCTGGCTGTCCACAAACTCAGAGATGCACCTGCCTCAGCCTCCTGAGTCTTGGGATTAAAGATGTGCACCACCACTGCCCAACAAGTATTTTTTTTCCTTATTCTCTTCTATAAACTCCGAAGAAAATGTAGAAAGATACAACAGGGTTAACAGTCGTCCCGGGCATCAGGAGTGGTTCATTCTTCTTAAACCTTTCTTCAAAGTAGAAGCACATCCCTAAAGAAAACCAAGTTTCTTCTCTAGTCGTGCTTTCCCTTTATGTTTTTTAAGATTTATTATTTTTATTTTATGTGTATGAGCGTTTGCCTTCATGAATGTATGTGCACCACATGCATGCCTGGTGCCTTTGGAGTCCACAAGAGGACGCTGGATCCCGAGAACTGAAGTTATGAAAGACTGTCAGAAACACACGGGCCCTCTTAACTGCTGAGACATCTCTGTAGCCCTGGGCTTTTCCTCTGAAAATTGTTTCCTTCACAGTAGACAGGCATTTTCCTTGTCATTAAACATAATACACATTAGGGACCTTTTGCCATCCTTCAGGTTGTTGACTTGTGTGACTTTGGCGCTAAAAGACAGGATGTACTTTGTAAATAATCAACACAGCCACTATACTAACTCGGTCCAGGTGTGGTGGCGCACGCCTTTAATCCCAGCACTCGGGAGGCAGAGGCCGGTGGATCCATGTGAGTTCCAGGGCAACCCGGTCTCCTGGTCTACATATCAAGTTTCAGGACATCCGGGCCTACATAGAGACCCTGTCTCAAAACAAACAAACAAAAATAACAACAAAAAATAACAAAACCCAAAACTCCAAACCCAAATTGGTTCTTCATCGTATCAAATTTTATTTCTATAATTCAAAGAACTTACTTTTCTCATTCTTATATAAAGGATAAAGTTGATTACCATCTCATTTACATGCTTATAATCTTCTAGAAGTTAATTGGGGTTTTTTATTTAAAAATTTATAATTTGGGGCTGGAGAGACGGCTCAGCAGTTAAGGGCATTGGCTGCTCTTCCAGAGGACCCGGGATCAATTCCCAGCAACCACACGGCAGCTCACAACTGTCTGTAACTCGAGCTCACAGTGATCTGACTCCCTTACACAGACATACATGCAGGCAAAACACCAATGCACAAAAATAAAAATAAATAAATCATTCTTAAAATGTACAATTTATTTCTTCATTTTTGTACGTGTTTGGGGAGGGGGCAGGCACCTATCACTAGGATTGGGAGAACAGGAGGTAGTTCTCATCTTCTATTATGTGGGTCCTGGGGACTGAACTCAGGTCATCAGGATTGGTGACAAGGACCTCTACCAGCTGAGCCACCTCACCAGTCCTTAATAGGTTTTTAACTAAAGGTCACAAAATTTCAATTCTCTAATTGACGATAAAGAATTCAAAGTAGCTTTCAGGTTAATAAAATTATGTTAACGAGGAAGACAAATCTATGCATTAATTTACTGCAATTGAAACATGAAGTATGAAAAGATTTCTTCTATCACGTGAAAGCCATCATACATTTTCAATACAATGGAGACACAATAGGACAGGTCACGGAGAGAGACAGAGAGGGAGACAGAGCACACCCAAGCTCCCAAACCAAGAAAGGTTATGCTGTGGTTAGGAAAAAAGAACTGCCAACTGCGTGTACTGTGGAGGTGGGGGTCTTTGGGACAAAAACTTGTATCATAATGCACCTATCCATTTGCAAAAATGCAGAGATCCACATATACGCATGTGCATATAAGTAACCTATCGGCCATGTACTGCCACCGTCCCCGGATGAAGGGGCAGACTGGGTGAGAACTTCAGTCCCTAGATTCCAGTGCTGTACAAGTGTACCACACTGAGGGGCCCTTACAGAAGAGTCCTGGGAGACACCGAGTGTAAGGGAAGAAAACCTGGATGGCAGTGCACACCTTTAATCCCAGCACTGGACAACAGGCCGGCAGATCTCTAAGAGTTCAAGATCAGCCTGATCTACAAAGCCATTCCAGGATAGCCAAGGCCTCATAGTGAGAACTTACTCTAGAAAAAAAAAAAATTTAAATAGTAAAGGCACAAGCCTTTAACCTCAGCAGCCGGATCACTCTGAATACAAGGCTGCCTGGTCTACATACTAAGTTCCAGGCCAACCAGGGATACACAGTGAGACCCCATTTCAAAACAAACAAACGAACAAGTATTAAGGTAACTTTGCAACTGGGGATTATTTTAATTTTTATTCGTAACCACTGCTTCCAAACATTTTCAAAAGACAAGTAAGTGGCATGGGGGGGGGGGGGACTTGCATTAAAAGCTACTGACTCGCCCAGTGTGATGGCGTACGCCTCCAGTCTCAGCTACTGGGGGAGCTGGGTAGGAGGATGGCAGGAGCCCACTCGTTTGAGGCCACCTTGGGCAGCCTTCTCCTCCCCTCTGCTGACTGAGACACTAGGACCTCCAGCACCTCTTCGGTCTCTTCTATCACAACCCAAAGGATCCTCGAATCTGTCTCTGTGCGTGGATCTAGGTTGGGATGCCTTTTTTCCTCCACTTTTCAATTTCTACTGACAGAAAGCACAGTTTGGTCTACCTCCGGGCCAAATCTACTCTGCACAGCTTAAACCTGTCACCCAGCACTCCTAAAGCAACCGGGGAGAGCCCTCCTGGGGCGTGGGCTGCTCTGTCTTTCAGAATGAATGAGATGCAGACTCAAGTGTGACTGTGACACATACGCTCATGACCAGAAGTGGACTCTTGGAGTCAAGGCTTGAAGAACTAACCTTCAATAGTCACCTCAACTTCAGGGTCCTCACTTGTTTCTGAAGGGACATGTTGAGTAGAATCTTGAAAAAAATAAAATTCTAAAATGACATTCATTATTCAGCATGTTCCATGTGCTCCAACACTTACTGTCTGGTGCTCCAAAAGAAGCCTACAATAAAAGGCAACTGGCATTTGAATTCATTTCATGTTCATTAAAGAGGTTTGACCCTTGATTACCACTAGGGATAAAAGAAAACAAAACGTAGAAAACGCTGGAAGGTGTTAAGGGAACACCAAGTTACCTGCATCGGTGGACTCAAGAGCCCCGTGTTCTTGGAGGAACGTGGGTACAGCAGACTCACAATTGTTCCCCTGCTCTAACTGGAGGATGCCAGATACAAACATGCTTTCTAGTGTGGACACTATGGCCTCTCTCCTTCCAGGAACCCTATGCGTGGTTTATGTATACTGTTAGATAAAACCACAGCCAACACTGTGCAAAGGAGACCTTCGTACAAAGGGGAAGGCGGTGACAGGGGCATGCGGGACTGCGGCGGACTCTCTTGCAGGACCCTGACCGGGATTTGTATTACGACACAGAACGTACGTACACGGGAAATGTTAGTGCTAGAAGCACAGGGAATTTTCGTTAGCGGTCTTTCATTTTGCAAAAGTTGAGAGATTAACTGATTTGCCAGAGACGATGTCTGCTGTTAGTACAGGAATAAAGAGCAGGACTCAAGTGCACTCAAGTTAACTTGGCTGTTAACACTGGACCACATCAGTAAGAATTTCATCAGAAATGAGTCTCCGAGACCCAGGATGTGTTGACAGACTTGTGAAACCGTGCAGCAGTCTGGGTTCTGGATGAACCATGCAGGTAGGTCCTGTACAGAGGCCTGTTGTTAGCAGTATCACCCACCCCAATCTAAGACCTGCCATCACATTTACCTCCCCAAACCCAACAGGGCGCTCACCACACAATCACCTGTGAAGAACATCTCAAGGATGCACAAGTATTTCTTTTTCTGTTTTATTATTTTGAGACAGGGTCTCACTACATAGCCCAGGATGGCCTGGAACTCATGGGTGATCCTCCTCTCTCAGCCTCCCAAGTGCTGGGATAACAGGTGTGCGCTACCACACCCAACTAGAACATCGACATTTTTGAGAGAAATTTATTCCTACTAGGAAGCCTACTGCAGCTGAATGTGCATAGATCAGGCCATGTCTTTGCTAAGATCACCCCTTCACTAGAAGGTCAAAGGTCAAATCCATGAGTTCTTAAATAAAAGGAAACAGCAGATACAAGGAATGCCAAGTTTCGGGATAAATTCCCCCTGTGTTGTATAAACAACAGTTAATGAGAGGAATACTGATTCTGAAACGAGATGACCCACCAGCCATCTCCTGGGAGGGCTAAGAACTACGCCAGCCAGCCAGCCAGCAGGGGGCGCTCCCGCACGCTGTGCAGTCAGGTGCTTACATTCCTAGTGTGTTGGGGCCCAGGCAATGCTAAGGAGAGCTCAGTGGCTGAGTGGCAGCCATTCCTGGGGTAGCTGCGGGTGTGTTAACAGTGAGAAGACGGGAAACTTCTCAGTCACAAAGTTAGCTGTTGCCTACGAGCAAACTGGGGATGATAAATAGCACGTTTTAAAGTTAAATGGAATCACTTTAACTGTAAACTACTGAAAAATAATTAATTCATTCATGGAATAAAATAAAATGGAGTTTTTTTTTTCTCCTCTTTCAATATGGCACAAGAAAGCTAAAAAGAAACAGGACCCACTGACTTGGCACGGCCAAGAGCATCACTAACCATGGCGGCCAGGCCCAGTGCCTTTAGCACAGTGAGGGCGGGCCACCACATGCCTCCTCTCTAAAACTGAGGGTGCTGGCCGTGAAGGCGCGGACCACCACCGTCTCATCTCCGAAGAACGGGCAACAGACGGGAAAAGTCAAGGTCCTTCTTTCCTAACCTTCTGCGGGTATTTCCACTTCTGTTCCTTCGTTGCCTTCTGAGGAATGACGGCTTCCTACAAAGAAAATGAACAATATATACTAAACCAGTAAAAAAAAAAAAAAAACACTAGCAGTAAAAGAAGAAAAACTAGGTGACCATACACTTTAATATAATAAACATACACGCAAAGATTTTTTAAACTCAGCAATAAATTCAAACAATGTTTTCTAACTCGGAAAAATCTTTAACTCTGCTGCTATTCGGAAGCTGCGGACTTTTGGAAAGGCAAACATCCAGAAGGAGGCTATGCAGGGCTGGCTCTGGTGTTAGTCACTGCCACCGCATGCTAGATTGCCGAGGGATGCTGGGAGCTGAGAAGCCGTGACAGTCCAGGTACCATGCTCATCGGGCAACAACCCACAAACAAACCACCAAATCAGAAGACCGTCTTTCTTTGCCTAGAGACTTAACGAGGTGTCAAAACCAAAAAAACCAAACCAAAACAAAGTCAAGGCTTATTGTGTGTGGAATGTGCCCTCTTTCCCTTTCTACCGTGATAGAAGCTACGGACACTAGTCCATAATTTAATCACAGTTGTACTTAAACACTTGAATTAAAATTCTAGAGACTATTTTTAGTTTCAAAAGCATTTTAGTTCAGGAAATAACCTGCCTGCTTCTGGACATGGGGCATACATCCAGCCACCTGTTGGGTCAGGCAGCCAGGAGGAGCAAGAGGACCAACCAGGCACCGCACGAGAGCCGCCAGCCAGGACACCAAACGGCCCCTTGGGATCCAGTGCACAGCTGCCCCCAAGTGCATCCTCAATCTCTAAGTGTCTAAGCTGGGGACAGGAAAAGAGGAAAAACACCATCGTGCATAAAGGAAAACAGACACCTGCCGGTACAGGAGTCACCGAGGGGCGGGTGGGCGGGCGGGCGGGCGGGCGGCAGGTCTCCTGACGACCATGCTCAGCTCCTGCCTAAGGGGGAGGCCAAGGTCATCGGTACACTTGACCTGGAGGGCCTCAGAGCTCTCCCAGCGCCCAGCGTAGGTCTTTGTGTCGCAATGCTCTGGGCCGTCATGGCCTGACTGTCTCGGGATGCTTCCCACGGGCTCTACAGTGGGGACTCACAGCTAAGGGCAGGCAGCGCTGTATTCGCAAGCCGACCTGCGAGCCACAGGCGCAGTGTGCTTCCTCTGCACACGTTCTTATGCTTGGTGGACCTTCACCTGTGCACTTACGGAGCTGTAAATCCTTTGACTGTGTAAAGTCAAAAGAAACAGATGTGAAGCCAAAACACGAGAAAAGGGAGAAGAGGCCAGCCGTCCGTCCCCAGCATGGCCGAGATACCGGGGGCAGGTTAGGGAGGCTGCTGATGCATACTATGACCCTGTGTGTCCTCTCCGGTCTACTAAAATCTATGAAAATGGAAGAGACCATTCTATCTACATTCCAGCGTGACACTAAAGAAAATACATCGCATGAGATCAAAGCCAGAAGGGACAGAGGAGAAGCCATAACTAACAGACTATGACCAAGTCTGGAGACACAGCACAAAAGTTATCCAAGGGGTCATTCAGTAAGCACAGGGGTTCACAAGTGATAGATAGTCTGCAATCCTTCCCAAGCTAAGCATCACCACGCCTTAGCACTGCTCACACTGCTAACCCCAGTAACAGCCTGCCTGCTGACTATGCTGATAAAGGTATAAAGTGTACTTTACCTTCAATAGGAAAGTGTGTCATGTACCCATTTCGAGATTCATTACTAGATTCACAAAAGGGAAAATTGGTTTTGAAAAATTTTGCTTGTGAAGTTCATTTATGTTTAAAAAAAAAAAAAAAGGCCAATACATTTTTTTTCCTTTTCCATTCGGAAAAGTAATATAGTTATAATTATTAAAACAGTCTGTCCAATATAAAGAAACAGTAAATACGAACAGGATGTGGGAGAGCAGAAGCGAAAGGCGATACCTTGCAAAGCCTTCGAAAGGGGGAGCTTTTCATCAACATCATCAGTTTCAGAAGGGCCTGCTTTGGGATACAAAGATAAGCTTCAAAAGGAATTTCAAAGCATATGTTGGTCACATTAGTGCCTATCTGGGTGATGTTTATGGAATGATGGCCTTTTTAGAAATAAAAACAGGCAAAAAAAAAAGGGGGGGGGATGTTAGTTGATGGTCTTGGTTGATGGGAGGAGTGTGTTCTGGTAAAGGTTTGTGTACACAGTTAAGGAGACTGAGGATGACCGACAGGACGGGATGGCATGGTAACGGCACGTCTGTAATGGAGGCTCGGAGTGGTTCAAATGGACAAGGGCTCGCTACAGGAAAGGCGGACGCTGACTGCACACGCCTACTGTTTGATTCTTCCATACAAGGATTACTGAGACTCTGAACCTCCCCCAGGCTTGCTGAAGGACATCCACTACTAATAAACCTCAACCACCACAGAGGCGTACACAACAAACCACCAGGCAGGGATCGATGCACTTTCTTTCTGGTCGAGATCCTCTTCATTAACTTAACAAAGTTTTCCCATTAGTCAAAGTATTTCGAAAATACATTAAAAACAGAAGGGGGATTACTTGGGAGAGAGGAAGGGGATTTGGGTACACAAAGGGTGGGTGAAGAGACAAAACAGAGCCACAGGGTTATGGTCCAAGTGCACTACACACATGTATGATGATGCCATAATGAAGGTTCATTCACCAGGAAACACAGAACACAAAGTCACAGATCTAATAACACAGTACAGGTAAGTTTCCACTGTACGTGAGACAGTTACATGGAGCCCAGGCTGACCTCTGACTTCTGAGGTCTTGCTACCTCCACCTCTGGAGTGCTGGGAAGGCAAGCGTGCTCCAGTGTGGCCAGTCTACGTGGTACTGGGGATGGACGCCAGGGCTTCTGGCACACCGGATGAACACTACCCCTGAGCTAAAGCCCGAGACCCTGAACAGGCTTTTTAGAATTCATCAACTGAAAGAAGCAAAGCGCGACTTTCAATGGCCAGTTCTTAACATCAAACAAATAAACAACAAGTCTGTAACACCAGCACTCAAGAGAGCACGGAGACTCCTGGGTTTGGGAACCTCGCTCGGCTCATAGCAAAACCACATATCCATAATAAAAGAAAACGCGAACACAAAACACTATCTAAATACAACACAGAAAACACCCTAGACCAGTGGTTCTGGACCTCCTTAATGCTGCAACCCTTTAATATAGTTCTTCACGTTGTGGTGACCTCCAACCTAACGTTATTTTCACTGCTACTTCATAAATGTCACTTTGCTACTATTACGAATCGTAACATAAATATGTGTTTTCCGATGGTCTTAGGTGCCCCTGAGAAAGGGTCATTCACTCCCAAAGGGGGTCACAACCCACAGGTTGATAAACACTGCATTTGAACAGTCTGCAACAGCACATAGGGAATTTCACAAAGACACCAACACACAGTACAAGCAGGAGACACATCACAAAGAGACATCGTGGGGCTGTGGTGTGGCTCAGGGGCCGGGGACCTGCTCGCTCCACAGCTGGAGGCCCTGGGGTCAATCTCCAGCCCAAAGAGGGGAGTGTGGGAGAGAGGATAACAGAGGGAGAAGGATGGAAAGGAAAAAGGGAAATGCCCACAAGGCACTGCTCTACTGGCCTGGGGAACGGCCAGTGGAATGTGTAGCTTAACTTCTTCAACTGCACTAAAGAAACAGTCAGTTCAATGAGGAAAACAGTCGGGGTGCGGGGGTGGGGGGGATTGGGGGGAGCATCCCAAGTTAGAACTCATCCTCGGCAACATACGGAGCTTGAGGACAGCCTAAGATACATGAGACCCTGACTCAAGTCAAGCCAAGCCAACTACCATTCTGCACAATGAACACACACCAATAAAAGATAATTAAGCCCAAGAGTAAAAACGTATGCTTTTATCTCAGCACTCAGGAGGCAGAGGCATGTGGACCTTTGCGAATTTGAGGCCAGCCTGATCTACTTAATGAGTACCAGGGTAGCCAGAGCTACATAGTAGAAACCCTGTTTCAAAAAATGCCAAAGAAATATCATCTTCCCAGTGTGAGTGTTGAGGGTGTGCGCGTGGGGGGAGGGGTGTGGGGACTTGTACTCACAGCAGGTAATGAAAATGATGTCAATGAAGAAAATACTAAAGACGGGGACATTTTATTTCAAACATCCATCTACCTGCTACCTTTATGTACACATGAGCAAGACACTACCAACCAAGTCTAGCTATATTCTGACTCTAAAACCATAAAAAGAATCCCTGATGATGATGATGATGATGCCAGCAAAGTCCTAGGATCACAATCATTAGACTGTTCAAAGGCCAGCAAGAGAGCTTGGGGTAAAGACACATGCCACCAAGCCTAATGACCCAAGCTCAATCCCCAGGAGCCATCTAGTGTAAGGAAAGAACCGACTCCAAGCTGCCCTTCACCTCCATGAGGCCACCCTACCCCCAACTTTTGTCACTGACAGTGAGCAGATATTTGCACACTTAAACATCCTGAAATATTATTCTAGGCATTTGTAAAATACTCCACAGCCAGTAAGGCTTATCACTTTAAAGAAAATCAAGTCTCCCAGGCAAGTGAAAACTAGAACTCCGTGAACATTTCACAACGCACACACTGAAGCAGCCACTGAAACGTTCGTTTGTCTGAGGCGAGGTCTCCCTGCGTAGCTCCGGCTGGCCCTGGGCTCCCGAGTGCTGAGCACACAAGCATGTGCCAACCACGCCACGCTGAGACTGCTAAGATGACCCGGGCTGACCATACAAGTGAGGACACGGATGGGGACCAGAACTCTCACGTTCGCCTGACTCGGACGGAAACTAGGAACAGGCACTGCGGCACAGACGGCTCCGAGAGCTGAACGCCACCACCAAGTGTCAGGAAGAAAGACCCCATTAAACAATGGTTACCTTGAACGTTATACTGATAGTAATCAGGATCTTCTGACTCCTCCTTAACTGTCACAGCGGCCATTTCCAGAGAAATGCCTACAAAACAAGTGAGTCTCCAGTAGGTCACGGTTCCAGGGCACTGCACATTCAAATCCTTACACATGTAAACAAGTGACAGTCTCCAGTAGGTCACGGTTCCAGGGCACCGCACATTCAAATCCTTACACACATTAAAGACTGTGAAAGGGCAAATGCTTATCAGGTAGGTGTTGAAGGAAGCCATCTGCAACCCCAACCAAGCCAAGGTTTTGGCAACTGACAGATAGACAGACAGACAGACCCAACCAACTGACCAACCTGAACAAACATCACAGTAAAAATCAACTTAGCTCTACGGAAAAAGGGGAGAGGAAGGGGAGAACGCCTACCTCGTCTCATCCCATCAGGACAGGAAGGAAACGTTAGAACACAGAGTACCAGTGGGATATGGCTGCCCAACTGCTCTCGGCTGGGGAAGGAAGAGTGAGGTAAAACTCCGCTACCTCTGACAGAGACTCAAAGTCACCCAGTAGAGCAGGAAGGTCTTCAACATTCACATGAGCTGAGTGATTTATGCTCTTACCTCGCAACATGCCTAACGACAATCTCTCCATCCCACAAACCAGCCTAAGAACTAACGCTAGAAACCCTCAGAAGAGACCTAATCGCAAAGCTTTGCTGACTGTAGGTTGGACAAGTATTTTCTAGGTAAAAAGAAAACAAAAGGAAGCCCTGTGTCTGGTTCAGCCGCTGGGAGGTTGCAGGATTAGCGGACAGCCAGAGCCACAGAGCCACACTGTCTCTAAGGAACAATAAAACAGAAAGGGGGCGGGAGGATGGGGGCGGTACTGTGGAGGAGGGCATGGGAAAAAACGTTAATGATATCTGTGTATGAAAATGCCGCAGTGGCGGGGCTGGGAGATGGCTCTGGGTTAGGGCCATGGACTCCCTCCTCCAGCTCACGAGCTCCAGGAAGCTCTGATGCCCCTGCTGGTCACTGTAAGTACTGCACTCACATCCAACTACACAGAATCACACAAATACACATCAATTTTATTTTTATTTTATGTGCATTGGTGTTTTGCCTGCATGTGTGTCTGTGTAAGGGGAGGTTGTTGGACTCCCTGGAAGTGGAGTTACAGTTGGGCTGCCATGTGGGTGGTGGGAAGTAAACCTGGGTCTTCTGGAAGAGCAGCCAATGTTCTTAACCTCTAAGAAGCCATCTCTCCAGCACCCATACAATGTTTTTAAGCAAAAATAAATGTGTATATATATATATAAATTTTTAGCTTTTGAGATAGAGTTTCTCTGTACAGCCCCGCTGTCCTAGAACTTGCTCTGTAAACCAGGCTGTCCTGGAACTCACTCTGAAGACCAAGCTAGCCTAGAACTCAAGAGATCTGCCTGCCTTTGCAATTAAGTTTTAAAAAAAATGTTTTAAACCCATGAAACCTCAATCCTATACAAAGAACACAGGCAACTAAGAAATACTGAGATTAGGAAGAAAGAGTCTTCTCTGCTAAAACTTACACATAAGTAACATTACACAGACGGAGCAGGTTACATTTGGGGGGGGGAGGAAGAGAGGAAGAGAGAGAGAGAGGGGGGGGGAATGTAATAACGCTGTGACCTGAATTTGAAAGAGGGAAAGGCAGTATATATAGAAGGGTTTAGTGGGAGGAAAGAAAAGAAGAAATAATATAATTATAACTTCGAAAATAAAAAAAAATTAGATGAATTAAACCAGACGTGGTGGTGCACACCTTTAATCCTAGAAATTGGAGATGGAGAGGCAGGCACTACATAAAGAGACCTTGTCTCAAAAAAAATAAAAATAAAAATAAAAACAAAGAGTAAAACATGTTTTAAATCTAAAAAAACAACAACAACAAAATCACAACCTTGGAAACATACTGACCACAACTTATTATTTTTTGAGTTTCAAAGACACCATTAAAGAAAATAAAAAGACCTAGCACAGGCTCTAAGAAACATTTGAAGACCATGTTTCTGACTTGTATCCAAAAAAATATGCAGAACTTCTGAAAAGGTGGGGGGGGGGCGGGAGGTGGAACCAATAACCACAGGTTAAAAATAAAGCAAACAGGAGCTGGAGAAAGGACTCATTGGGTGAAAAGCATGCCACACCGCGGAAGCGCTGGAGTTTGCACCCCAGAACCCATGTAAGGTTGGACATGGTGCTGTGTGTCTCTGATGCCCGCTCTCTTACGGTGAGATGGAAGGCAGAGAATCCCTGGAAACTCTCAGTCAGAGAGTCTGGCCTCTGCAGGAGCAAAACGCCTCAGACCAACACTTGCGGTTGCTGCCTGATCTCAGCAGGCACACCGTGGCACACATGTGCCTGGATTCATCCCCTCCCTCCCTCCCTCCCCCCACTGCCTGTCTCTCACATTCTCATTTTCTCTCTCTTACACACACACACACACACACACACACACACACACACAGAAAAAAAAAAAAAAAAAAAAAAAAAAAACACGTCATCAAAGACACAGGAACAGCCAATGAGTGCATGAAAGAAATGTTGAGCATCATCTCCCATGAGGAAATCACAAATTCCAACCACAGTGAGGGGGCTGGAGAGACAGCTCCGTGGCTGAGAATACTTCCTACACAATCCCGAGCACCAGAGCTCCTTCGATCTCAGGACTCTCGTAACAAGTGGACCAAACCGGTCAGTGCTTGTCACCTCAGCTCGGAGGGAGGCAAGGGTAAGGGGACTGAGCTTCCCAGATAGCGGCCCTGGGTTCTGAGAGACCCTGCCTCAAAGGAATAGTCAGAGGAGAAGACACTGGGCGCCCTCTTCTGTCCTGGGAGCATGCACAGGCACACAACTTCCCGCCCCGCCCATGCATACAAAGATACCATATTTACATACAGGCACATGCACGAAATTAAGGATTAATTAAAAATAAATCTTTAGAGGCCCCTCCTACAATGAAACCAGGGAGACAGCACATGCCTGAAATATTAGCACTGGCCAGGCCGAGGCAGGAGGCTCCTAAGACGCCAGTCTGGTCAGCATAACAAGACACAGTAACTAGCAACTCAAAAGATAGCCTCCTCGACAGAGGAAAAGACTGTGTGTAAGCGATTCTAAGAGTACTACTAGTACATACCAGAGTCTTCCGTGGGTTCCGTTTTCACTTTGATGGGGCCACAACTGAAAGGAGGAGGAGACGTGGATCACGGGATGCAAGTGTGAGGGCCACCTGCACAGTGGTCAACAGCGTCCCCGACGTGCGGCCTTCCGTGAGAAGTGCCACTGTGCACGACTCCTGAGGGGAACCTACATGCCTGGTGTCACACACCTGGGATGCCAGCACTCGGGAGGCCGAGGCAGGAGGATTCCAATACCTGGGCTATTAGAAAGCAAGGTATGCCGGGCGGTGGTGGCGCACGCCTTCAATCCCAGCACTTGGGAGGCAGAGAAAGGTGTCACTCTGTGAGTTCGAGGCCAGCCTGGTCTACAGAGCAAGATCCAGGAAAGGCGCAAAGTGACATAGAAAAACCCTGTCTCAACCCCCCCCCCCCCCAAAAAAAAAAGAAAGAAAGGCTTTGCCGGGCGGTGGTGGCGCACGCCTTCAATCCCAGCATGTAGGAGGCCGAGGCACGGTTATTCCAATATGAGACTACCCTGAGCTACTAGAAAAAAGGCTTTTTCTCATAAACAAAATTTGCATTTGCACTCTGGATGTGTGGCACGAGGCTGCCTGCTATTTTGGTAACTCTGGGCACAGGCACAACGGTGCTGGTGAGGGATGGTTTACCTTCCACCAGGAGACAGGATGGTCCTCTCAGGATCTGATGCCATCACTCGGCCACCTACAAACGAAAGCAAATTACATTCAGGTTTAACAGCATTTTAAGTAGGGTTGGTATTTTAAATTCCCAAACCGCTCTCCACCGTCTTTGTTTGGTGTGGGTTTTGTTTTATGACAGGGTTTCTCTGTGTAACAGCCCCGGCTGTTCCTGGAAACTTCTTCTGTAGACCTGGCTGGCCTCGAACTCAGAGAGATCAGGCTGCCTCTGCCACCCCAGTGCCAGGACTAAAGGTGTGCGCCACCATGCTGCCCACATCCGACTCCTTTTGTTGTTGCTGTTTTGTGTTTGTAGGTCGGGTCTCACTACGTAGCCCAGGCTGGCCTTCAACCTCACACAGTGCTGGGATTACAGCATAAACTACTATGACCTGGCTTGTGGGGGATCTGAGGTGGCATGAGAGGACCTGGAGGAGAAACCTTCTGAGACGTGCAAACACAGACGTGTAGACAAACACAGACGTGCAAACACAAACGTGTAGACACAGCCTCTGAACTCCTTTATCCACCTTCATTTCACACAAATATTTGGTCAGTGAGCTGACTACAGAAATCAAGCATCTCTTGAGTGCATACAATGAGCCTGCTGACACAAATGTGACCCCACTTAAGGGTCGGTGCGGGGGCTTTTGTGTGACATGATGGAAGTGTTCACAGTCACATAATGATCAAGTGCCAACTTGTGATACACGTTAAAATGTGAATTATACTGCAATTAAAAGAACTGTTGGCGGGCTGGAGAGATGAGATGGCTCAGAGGTTAAGAGCACTGGCTGCTCTTCCAGAGGTCCTGAGTTCAATTCCCAGCAACCACATGGTGGCTCACAACCATCTGTAATGAGATCTGGCGCCCTCTTCTGGCCGGCAGGCATACATGCTGTATACATAATAAATAAATAAATCTTGGAGGGAAAAAAAAAAAGAACTGTTGGCAGTGGGGTCGCAGAGCCTTTGATCCCAGCACTCGGGAGGCAGAGGTAGGCAGATCTCTGAGTTCAAACCCAGTCTAGTCTAGAGAGTGAGTTCCAGGAATGCCCCTCACCTCACCTCACTCCCCCAAAAAGAAATGTCTTGCCAGGCTTGGAGGCACACAGGGAATCCAAGCACTGGAGAAGCTGAGGCAGGAGGAACCAAAGTTCAAGGCCAGTCTTGACCACACAGCACAACCCTGTCCCACCCTCGCTAACCAAGGCTGGCACAGCGGCTCAGCAGACCACTGACCTAGCATGTACAAGCGCCTGGCTCACCTCACCAGCACTGCGGAGGGCGCTGGTGGAGCCAAACCTCCACCAACCTTACACAGCCTTTCCTGAGAACGCCGAGAATCTATATAAGCCGGATTTCCTCACCCGAGGAACAAGTAAACACTGTTGTATCTGTATATAACACGGACACAACATGGACAAGAAGGGAATCGCCTGTGGAGAGCCTGATCTATATCAAAAGGTCCAGGCCACCGAGCAAGCAAGACCAAGTCCGGACAAGCAAAAGCTGGGTGTGACAGAGCACGCCTTTAATCCTAGCACTTAAGAGACCGAGGCAGGCAGATTTCTGTGAATTCTGGGCCAGCCAGCGCTACACAGAGAGGCCCTGTTTCCAATATTTGTTAAAGTGGTGGGGGTGGGGGTGGGGGTGGGGGGCCAGGGAGACATGCACACCACACAACAGTAAAACGAGAATCAACTATTACTATATAAAGCACAGGTAATTTCAAAATGAGAAGCCAGCAAAAGAATACACACATTATCATTCTATCCATGTAAAAATCTGGAAATGCTGGGGCTGATGTGGCTCAATGGTCAAGAGCACTTGCTGCTCTTGTAGAGGACCTGGGTTTGGTTCCCAGCACCCATATGATGGCCCACAACCACCCAAAACTCCAGTTCCAGAGTAACTGATGCCCTGTCCTAACCTCTGTGGGGACTGGGCATGCAATATGGTGTACCTACATACATGCAAGCGAATCTGGAAATTCCAGTAAACCTGCAGGGACAGGAAAGGACTCAATGAAAACTTGGGGGTTCAACAGGCACGAAGTGGGACTTAAATGCTCAGAGCTTGTTGTAATGAAGGGTCATATGGCACACAAGGGTCCACACTGATCATACTGTATACTTTTCTTTTTTTTCCTTCGAGACAGGGTTTCTCTGTGTAGCTTTGCACCTTTCCTGGATCTCGCTCTGTAGACCAGGCTGGCCTAGAACTCACAGAAATCCGCCTGGCTCTGCCTCCCGAATGCTGTGATTGAAGGCGTGCGCCACCACTGCCCGGCCATACTGTGTACTTTACAACTCTGTAGTTCACTGCGTGTCAATCACACCTCTAAAAGGCATCAAAACTCCTGAAGCCAGTTGTTGATGTAATCAAGAGTATTATTAAATAAGAAACACAGAAACAATATAAAAGAGAAAGCCGAGAGGTCAGAGCTCAGAGCTAAAATCTCACCCTTCCGCCTGCGGTGTCCCAGCTTCCTGAAAGAGAGCTATATCCTGTCTGTTCGTTTTTTTTTTATAGTATGCTGTTCTGCCTTCTCATTGGTTGTAAACCCAAACACATGACTGCCTCGTTACTGTCTGAATGTACAGCCCCCCAGGTCTTAAAGGCATATGTCTCCAATGCTGGCTGTATCCCTGAACACACAGAGATCTATGGGATTAAAGGCGTGTGCCACCACCGCCACACTCTGTCTATGGCTCTAATAGCTCTGACCCCCGGGCAACTTTATTTATTAACATACAATCAAAATCACATTTCAGTACAATTAGAATACCACCACAGCCAGTAGTAAGATTCCATTTGTTTTGTTTTAGCTGTACTGAGGACTGAACCTATGTCCCCCCTCAAGTGCTCTGCCTAGGAGGACCATCTGCAGCCTGTCGGGGGATTCTAGGCAAGAACTCCACCCAGAAAACTGCCTCCAGCTCTTGTTTCGTGTTTTATCTTGTTTCATTTTTGACACAGGATCTCACTATGTAACTCTGCCGAGTCTGGAAATGACCATGTAGACCAGGCTGGCTTTAAACTCACCCGGATCCACCTGCCTCTGCCTCCCGAGTGCTGGGACTGAAGGCGTTGGCCACTGTGCCCAGCCATCTCTGACTTTTTTTTTTTTTTTTTTTTTTTTTTTTGGTTTTTCGAGACAGGGTTTCTCTGTGTAGCTTTGGCGCCTGTCCTGGAACTCACTTGGTAGCCCAGGCTGGCCTCGAACTCACAAAGATCCGCCTGCCTCTGCCTCCCGAGTGCTGGGATTAAAGGCGTGAGCCACCACCGCCCGGCTCATCTCTGACTTTTAAAAATGTATTTACTTATGTGTGTTGGGTATTGGGAGGCACATACCACGCACCCACGTGAAAGTCAGAGGACAACATGCAAGAACTGGTTCTGTCCTTGCCACTGTGAGAGTCCCAGGGGTAGAGCTCAGACCATGCACTTGGCTGCCAAGGCCTTACCCACTGAACAAGCTCTCGCGCCTCCTTCTTCCTTATTTTGGTACATATTCCATGAAGTTGCCCAGGCTGGCCATGAATGCACTCTATGGGTCACAGTGAGAAACGATCTCTCTGTCTCACCCTGACCTAACACGAACCACATACCCAGCTCCAAAAGAACCCTTTTTAAAACTCGATTGGATCCCCAGGTGGGCATGGTGGTCTTCTGTAACCACAACTAGGTTGTGGAGACTAGGGAGACTAAGGCAAAAGGACCATGAGCTAAAGGTCATAAGACGCCACACAAAAGTCTGTCAGAAAATAAAAAAAAGTGTGTGCCCACAGAGGTTTCCTTTTGAGAATTTACGCAAGGTCAGAGAATCTGGGCTTGCTTTACCCAGCAGGGCTGTATAATGGGATGATTTGACCACAGATGTGGTTATCAGGTGCTTGGAAGGGTCTACACTTGGCTGTACGGTGTGCGTTGATCTTGCAAGGGGGAGGCCCTTTGCCCCTCCCCTTGGAATTTTTTTGGTTTTTTATGTTTTATAAAATCTTTATTGACCAAGAATTCACATAGTATACAATTTGCCTGTTTGCACAGTTTGACAGACTTTAGTCGAGCATCCTCATCGGTCTATGACACCATCACCACTTTCTATTTTAGAACATTGCTGTCTTCAATTTCATACACACATATAATGTATTGTAGCAGGAATCTTAAAAGTTCTTATTAATAAAATCAAACCCAAGGCCAGTTATTGGGGCGAATACTGGAAGGTCAGAGAGACAGAACAAGCCACAGCTATCTCACCTTGCCTGTTCCCCAGCTGGTCCCGTTTCCTTAGACTGGAAGCCCCCCGAGTCCTCATCCGGAATGGGTCTCAGCTGAATTACTGCTCAAAAGCCTGAAGCTTAACCAGGCCAAATGCTTAACCAGCCAAATACTTAACCAGCCAAAATCTTCTAGTTTCTGGTCCTCACGCCTTATATATCTTTCTGCTTTCTACCACCACTCCCTGGGATTAAAGGCTGGCTTTCTGGGATTAAAGGCGTGTGTCACCATGCTTGGCTATTTCCAATGTGGCCTTGAACTCACAGAGATCCAGAGGGATTTCTATCTCTGGAATGCTAGGATTAAAGTTGTGAGTGCCACCATTTTCTAGCCTTTGTATCTAGTGGCTGTCTGTTCTCTGACCCCAGATAAATTTATTAGAGTACACAATATTTTGGGGAACACAATACCATCAAAATGTATGGTGATTACATTCCTCCTTATTTTTTTAAATGAACATAATATTTGCAATTGTAACCATTTTTAAGTTCACAATTCAGTTGGCATTGTTATAAGAAGCCTTTTGAGTAAAGCCTCGAGGCCGCTGAGTATTTATCTGGATCCAGTGGCTAGGTCTCTCTGATATTTTCTTATCCCTCTCTCTTCTTCCTAAGAACCCTAGAAAAGGTGGGAGCTGGCCTCCCACAACAAAGAAACAACCAGATTGCTGCCCCCCATCTGAGAATAAGTTATACACTCTGTTTGCTTTTTAAAAATTAACAAAGCCAGGCAGTGGTGGCACATGCCTTTAATCCCAGCACTCAGGAGGCAGAGCCTGTGAGTTGGAGGCCAGCCTGGTCTACAGAGCGAGATCTAGGACAGGCACCAAAACTACACAGAGAAACCATATCTTGAAAAGGCGTGCGCCACCACCGCCGGGCTGGTACTACAAATTCATTCTAATATATGCAGCTTATTTACATGGGTCCCAGGAATTAATTCAGTCATTAGGCCTGGCAGCATGTGCCTTTACGTGCTGAGTTGTCCTGCAGGCTGGCTGTGCCAGTTTTGTGGCCATAATTAAACTTTAAACCTAACAAATACTCTGAATTTTTCTTCATTCAGTCTGTGCTGGCCTCAAACTTTTCATCCTCCTGCTTCAGTACCTGAGTGCTGGGATCGCAGGCCTGGGCAACAACTCGGCTTCTCTCTCAGTCTTAAAAAGGACCCCACACACTGATGCCTTCCCTCTTAATGGTCGAAGGGGAATGTTCACCTAACACGGAGAACAATGTGGAGCTTACAGACTGTTCTCTCCCAGCACAGACATCAGGGTGGCCTCTGGCTAAGGTGTTAACCCTAGCCAGACCAAAGGGTCAGGAACAAAGGGCACACTGTGGCAGGAAGGAGAGGGACACTCGCTCGCTCGCTCGCTCACTCACTCGCACTTTTGCTGAGAAGAAACCATAGAAATAGAGTCAGGGTCAGCTGACTTCCAGCAAAGTTACCAAGACAACGCAGAGAGAGAGTGCGCTCCTCACTGACGGCTGCGGGAACACTGGAGACCCAGATGCAGAGACAAATTTATGCCTTTACATTCTGAAATACACAAACCCAAAATAGACTGGAGATCTGGGAGGTGTCGCTCAGTGAGCGCCTGACTGGCAACGACCGACCGACAGACACCCTGGGTTCCAGTCCCAGCACCACTGGAAATGGAAGAACTCGATCCAGGAGCTAAAGAGCTATAACCTGGAGAAGAAGAACACTTGCAAGGCCAAGGTCCACGTCCCAAGGGCAGGTGATGTCTTCCTTCTTTTTCTTCAATACAACCCCACAGCATGAGTGGTGAGCAAGCACCATGGACTGAGTCACCTCCCACCCCCCAAACGACAGCTCGTCAGAGAAGACAGACATCCAGGGCACAGTGACAAACGGAGAAAAACCATTTCCTCTAAACATTCAGACCGGGCCTCGCGAGACAGCTCAGCAGGCGACAGAACTCGCTGCCAACCTGAAAACCCACATTCGGTCCCTAGAATATCTACGACAGACAGAACTACGTCCAGCCAGATGCCCTCTGACCTCCACCGTGTGCTGTAGCACACGTGCCCTCCTGCCATGAAATACATTTAATTTAATATTTTTTTAAATGTAAAACTAGGCGCTGGGGAGATGGTTCGGGAGCTTAAGGATCTGTAACACAAGCACAAAGACCTGAGTTTGGATCCCCTGTACCCTCATAAAAGCTGGAGCTGAAGTAGGGCAGAGCTAGGAGTTCACCTGGCTGGTGAGCACCAAGGTCAGTGAGAGACCCTGTCTCAAATACAAGGAGAATGGCGTGGAATAATCCAGTATCGGCTAACTCTAGCATCTGCACAGATCCACACGTGCACAAGTACACAGACATAATAATGGTGCCAACACACACACAAAAAAAAATACAACTACGAGCCAGGCAGTGGTGGTGCACGCCTTCAGTCCCAGCCTGGGGAGGCAGAGGCAGGCAGATCTCGGTGAGTTCCAGGACAGCCAGGGCTACACAGAGAAACCCTGTCTCAAACAAACAAACAAACAAATGAAACTACCAAGCAAATGGGCTGGAGAGATGGCTCAGTGGTTAAGAGGACTGGTTGCTCTTACAGAGGTCCTGAGTTCAATTCCCAGCACCTACTAGGGGACTGCCTCACAACCACAGGTAACGCTAGTCCCAGGGAATCTGATGCGGCCTTCTGAGCTCCCCCAGACACCAGGCACCGGGGTTGCAAAGAAAACATACAGACATCCATGCACACAAAATAATGGAAAATCAGATGAATAAAAAAAAAAAAAAAAAACATCAAGCAAGCAAAAAGACAATTCACAGAACTGGAGACAGCGCTTGTCAGTGACTGGCCACCACTGAGTTCATCATGGCGGTGCTGACCACAATGGCCGGCACCAGAGGAGAGGCTGAGGTTTGGGGCTGTTGAGGCCACGCTGGCTCAAATAACCAAACAAGAATCGACCTGTTGCTGCCTTTCCAGTGCTGGACACTGACCTCAACCTCAACCTCCCACACTGACCCGAGACTCTGCTGGGTTCCAGCCCGGATTTCGAATGGTCAGACTGTGCATCTGCTAAAAATCATGTCTTCTACTCCTAAAATACGTGCATTTAAATATGTCAGTTACATCTTAATAAAACTGATCCAGCCCAGCGGCGGTGGCACACGCCTTTAATCCCAGCACTTGGGAGGCAGAGGCAGGCGGATCTCTGTGAGTTCAATGCCAGCCTGGTCTACAGAGTGAGTTCCAGGACAGCCAAGATTGTTACACAGAGAAACCCTGTCTCAAAAACAAACAAACAAACAAAAAAACCTGATCAAATTAATTTTTTTCAATTACCAGAAAATAGGTATAAGTCAGATGTAGTTACACACACCTAGTGGGAAGATGAGGCATCTAAGGCCAGCCTAGACTTCACAATGTGTCCAAGGACAAGCTGACTACCTCAGATTTTTTTTTTTTTTTTTTGGCTTTTCAAGACAGGGGTTCTCTGTATAGTTTTGGTGCGCCATCGCCCAGCTACCTCAGATTTTTTTTTTTTTTGGGGGGGGATGCAATATATTTATTCCAAAGAAACTATGGCTACTGTGGGAAGATTCCCACTTTTGTATTCTTAATAAACTAAGCACACACATTATCAAAAAGACAATTTTTCAAAAGGAAAATTTTTAATATTTAAAAATGTATTTTAAAATATTTTAAACATTAAAAAGAAATGTGTATCAATTAAGAACTATACATCTCTGATTTTCATCTCATAATCCAAGCAATTAAAGGACAGAAAGGAAAACAGCTCACACACACACACAAAAAAAATCTCAGTAACTAAAAATAACTTCCAAACTCTGAAATAACAAAGAAAAGAAGGCAGCAACATTCTAGAACACGCAACTTAAAAAAGACTGTTTGATCCCGCAAATTTCAGAGAATACATAGATAATCCCAATATCTTAATATTCTCTGAGTGAAAAAAATCAATGTAATTTATGATGACCTAAAACCCTAGAGCCATAGCTAAAGGCAGTAGGAGGAACAGGCATCAAATTTTTTTTAAAAAGGCTGTGTGTGTGCACGTGCGTGCGTGTGCACACCCACACATGTACTCATATCCATGTGTCTTTTCCCTTCCATCTTTATGTGCTAGAAAGGTCTTCTATGGTACTGAGTATCACCTTTAAAAGTAAAAGTAGGGGCCAGCAACTCACTTCAAGGGTTAAGAGTGCACACTGCTCTTGCAGTGGACCCGAGTTCAGATCCCAGCAGCCACAACAGACAGCTCACAACTGCCCACAACTCCAGCTCCAGGCAATCTGATGCCTTCTCTTTGGCCTCCATGGACACACACAAATAAAAATAAAACTTTAAAAAATAAATAGATAAATAAAACTTTAAAAATACATACACACGGGGCTGGAGAGATGGCTCAGAGGTTAAGAACACCAGCAGCTCTTCCAGAGATCCTGAGTTCCCAGCAACCACATGGTGGCTCACAGCCATCTACAGTGAGATTTGGTGCCCTCTTCTGGCATGTACATGCCAGAACACTGTATACATGAAAAATAAATCCTAACCCCACCCCACCCCCTACACACACACTACTAACATGGCATGTTATAGTGGTATTTTATTTGTACTGAAATGTGATTTTAATGGTATGTTAATGAATAAAGTTGCCCGGGGGTCAGAGCTAATAGAGCCATAGCAAGAGTGTGGCGGTGGTAGCACACGCCTTTAATCCCAGCACTTGGTAGAAGAGCTAGGTAGATCTCTGTGTGTTAAGGGATACAGCCAGCATTGGAGACACACGCCTTTAAGACCTGGGGGGCTGTACATACAGGCAGTGACGAGGCAGTCACGTGTTTGGGTTTACAACCAATGAGAAAGCAGAACAGAAAGACTATGTAAAGACATACACACAGGAAGTAGGTCTCTTTCGGAGAAGTAGGACCACCACAGGAGGAAGGGTGAGATTTTAGCTCTGAGCTCTGACCTCTTGGCTTTCTCTTTTACATTGGTTCTCTGTTTCTTATTTAATAAGACTGTTGGCTACATCTACAGCATGTCAAGTGGACCTGGCTTGAAGGAACCACTGTCTCCTGTTCATTGCCTTACTTAAGTGGAATGGCCAGCCCACCCCAGACGAAGCCCTGCTGTAACAGTCCTGCAGTGATCTTCCTCAAATCCTCTCAGCAGCTCTGACGTAGGGACGTTACATTTTTGGTCACGGTCACTTGACAGCCACTGACATCTCCTAACACATGAGCAACACTCAAAGGTGTACATACTACAGTCAGTGGTGAACACACGCCTGCCTTCAGCACTGCTCTGCCTTTCCAGTGATACTCACTCACCAGTCACTCTTAGGATCTGGAAGAGGAAGAGGGACCCGGGAAATGGAAACACCACGTAGCCTCCACTTAGTTACCTCAGTGAGCTGCCACAGGTTTTTCACTAACCCTGACTCAGAAACGTCTTACATCACTGACTCAAAGAAAATCAAAGACAATAATCAGGAATCCAGCAGGCTAAGGTGTAAACAAAGGAATGTACTCACCAAGGTGTTTCTTCGGTTCAAGGAAAGGTCTGCATAAAAACAAAAGACAAAACCACCTATGAAAACCCAAGACTAGCATAAGCAGCACACAGACAGCATCTGGATTGCACAGCTGTACAGATCCGGTCAACACGTATGTACTAAGTATGTGGGTATCAGAGGGGAAGGCACCTCACCTCTTAATGATGAACGAGATCCCCGCCTTGTTCTCCAAAATCCACTTCAAGGTTGCAAGGTCGTAATGTTCAGGGTGCTTGAAGGCAACTCCCTCAGGAAGCCCTTGTACCACCACAGCTGACTGGTCACGTAGCATCTTCTCATACGGCACAGGGACCACTGTGGATTTGCCTAAAGCTTTTCCTATGGAAGGAAAACATGGAATTAGCATGACCCCAGGGTCACAATTAAAAACTCAATCACTGCCGCTGGGAAGATAACTCAGTATGTAAACTGATGGCCACTTAACCATGAGGACCCATATTTGGATCTCAACCACCCACATAAAAAGCGGGGCAGGGCAGGCTCATTGTAACCCAGTGTTGAAAAAAGGGAATTATGGGATTCACTGGCTACCCAGTCTAGGCAGTCAGTGAGCTCCAGATTCAGTAAGAAGACCAATCTCAAAGTAAGATGGTGGTGGTGGCACACGCCTTTAATCCCAGCATTCAGGAAGCAGAGGCAGGTGGATCTCTGTGAGTTCAAGTCCAGTCTGGTCTACAAAGTGAGTTCCAGGACAGCCAGGGCTACACAGAGAAACCTTGTCTCAAAAAAAAAAAAAAAAAAACTAAGATGGCAGGGCCAGGAGAGATGTCTCAGTGGCTAAGAGCACTGCTCTTCCAGAGGACCTGAGTTCGAGTCCTAGCACTCACACTGCCGCTGTTGTTGTTTTTATCTCTTTGGGGACCCACCACCCAGCTCCCAAATAAATACATGGAGACTTATTCTAACTTACAAATACCCAGCCTTAGCTTGGCTTGTTTCTAGCCAGCTTTTCTAACTTAAATTATTCTGTTTCTCTTTAACTACATTTTGCCTCTGGGCTCTTTACCTTTCATTATTCTATATATCTCCTATCTTCTTACTCCATGGCTGGCTGTGTGGCTGGCACCTGGGGTCCTCCTCTCCTCCTTTCTCCCTCCTCATTCTTTTCTTTTCCATAGATATCTCCTAGCTATTCTCTCTCCTGCCAGCTCCACCTACCCTTTCTCCTGCCTAGCTATTGGCCATTCAGCTCTTAATTAGACCAATCAGGTGGGTATTTTAGGCAGGCAAGTAACAGCTTTAGAGAATTAAACAAATGCAACATAAAAGAATGCAACACATCTTTGCACCATTAGACAAATATACCACAGCATAAACAAGTGTAACACATCTTCAACTAATATTCCACAACATGCCACTCACCACCATCTGTAAGGCCAGTTCCAAGGGATCCAACATGCTCTTCTGGCCTCCACAGACAACAGGCACACACACGGTACACAGACACACATGATACACAGACACATATGCAGGTTAAACAAGTCATACAAATAAAAACATTTTAACTTCTAACTGAATAAATCAGTAAAGGGGGGTTGACAAGATGGCTCAGCAGGTGAGAGCGGGATAACACTGTGGGGTACGAGGACATAGACACACAGGTGTGTACAATCATGATAAATAAATATTAAAAATATTTATAAATATAAATATTAAAAAACTTCTCAAAGAAATATGAGGTAGCGAGAGATGACAAAGACACATGACCTCCACATGCACTCACTCACTGGGTACATACATGCACACACACCCCTCCACAGACACACGGGGCACACATCTGCACACACACACACCCCTCCACATGCACTCACGGGGTACATATCTGCACACATATACCCCTCCACAGACACACCGGGTACACATCTGCATGCACACACACACATACACACCCCTCCACAGACTCACCGGATACACATCTGCACACATATACCCCCTCTACAGACACACATACAAAGTAACCAGTCAAGAGCTTATCACAAGCAGAGCATGGCGGTGCACTAGCACTCAGGAGGCAGAGGCAGGAGGATCTCTGAGTTTGAGGCAGTCTGGTCTACAGAGTGAGTTCCAAGATAACCAGGGCTACACAGAGAAAGAAAAAAATAAAAATAAAAAAGCAAATAAATATATAAAAACAGCTTGCCAGAGATCAGTAAGTGGCAGTCTGATTTTTCTCACAGTCTCTGACTTCAACACTAACTTAAAATAGAATTTCCAGTAACACTCTGAAACACTACGTCAATCCCCATGACAGCTAATTCCGGAAGCTGAAATCAAACCAAAGGCCCAGAATACAAAATGCACAACAGGCCTCACTCCAGCCAGCATGGTGTATCCATAAGCCCAACTAAGTGGAAGACTGAGGCAGGAGGATCAAGGAATGTTCAAAGCCTGCCTGCGCTGACAAGAATGAGGATTATTGAGACCCTGTCATACAAAAAAAAAAAAAAAATCGGGCTAAGGATGGACGCATTTCAGTTGTCAATCAATTGCTTAGTGAGGCGCAGGGTTCACCCCCAGACCAAAACAAATTATGAAGATGACAGTACGATTGGTTGTGCCATATGATGGGACAAAGGCAGAGGGGTTGTGCAGAGAGTTGAGGACAAGCACTGATGCCAAAAACAAGGAACTCTCGGGCCAGTCGAATGGCTCAAAGGATCAAGGTCCTCGCCATGCAAGCCTTGTTGCTCGAGTCTGAACCCAGACCTCACATACTGGGGGAGCACTGAATCCACGAAGTTGCCCTCTGAACTCCTCATGCACACTACAACATGCAGGCGCAAGCCCCTCCCAGACACATACGCACAAGAAGAACAATGAAATTTGTAGCTGATTATTTTTTCTTTTTGTCTTCTGAGATAGGTTCTCACTATGTAGACCAGACTGGCCTGAAACACAGAGGTCCACTCACATGCCACCATGCCAGCCCAATAATGGAAAAAAAAAAAAATAAGTAAGTTATATGTATTTCTGAATTCTTTTGACTTAATCTCTTAAATACACAAATGAATCTACTCAATTTGTACAAGTATGCTATATGAATGTCAAATCAATTATAAAATCCACCATTTAGAAAATGTATCTTGCCGGGCAGTGGTGATGCACACCTTTAATCCCCAGCACTCAGGAGGCAGAGCCAGGCGGATCTCTGTGACAGGGACCAAAACTACATAGAGAAACCCTGTCTCAAAAAACAAAAGAAAGAAAGAAAGAGAGAGAGAGAGAGAGAGAGAGAGAGAGAGAGAGAGAGAGAGAAAGGAAGGAAGAAAGAAAGGAAGAAA